GCTTTATGAACTTAGTTCCTTTGTTGAAGATTAGTTGACTGTATACCCAAAGATCTAACTATCTTTGGGATCTCAATTCCATTCCACTAGCCTGAGAGTTTGTCCTTATTCCAATCACACTCTCTTGATTTCTGTAGCTTTATAGTGAGATTTAAATTTGAGGAAAAAAACTCTTCATCCTCTATTTTTTAGGATTTCTTTGACTTTAGGGGTTCAGAAAAAGCCCCAAAGTTATTATTCTATATAAAACTCAGCTTTGTTTTATTAACAATGGCATGGGTATTTTTTGTAGATTCTACTGCATTGAATATATATACATATATATCTACAGTGCTTTATGTAGAATGGACATTTTGACAATAATCATCCTTTCAGTCCTTGAACAAGGGGTGAATTTCTATTTCCTAGTGTATTCTTTTACTTATCTAATAGCAATTTATAGGTTTTTTTTTTCAAATGTGATTCATTCACCTCTTTTGTTAAGCTGATTCCAAGATACTTGATGTTCTGAGGCACAGTTGAGAATGGGATCTTATACCATGCATAAAAGTCAATTCAGAATGGATCAAAAAACTTGATATTAGACTAGGATCCATAAATTATTTTGAGGAAACTATAGAACCCTTCATTGATATTGAACTAGAAGAATTTCCAACAATACAATGCCATTTGCCAAACAAATGGAAGCAAAGGAAAACAAATTGAACTACATCAAATTAAGAAGAGTCTACACCATAAAGGGAATGACGACCAGAAAGAAAAACATCACACAAACTTGGCAATCACTCATCCTATAATGGGTTAATATATATGGCATATAAAGCATTTGTAAAACTTAAGAAAATAAAAAAGAATGCCATTCAAATATGGGGTGAAGAGATGAATAGAAACTTCTTCAGGAAAGACATACAGATGCTATATAGATGGATCTGGAAAGTATCAGTCTGAAGAAAATTATTCAGAAGGACAGGGACAGACAATGGCAGAATGATCTTTCTGATATATGAGATAAAAGGAAACAGTAGGGAACTATGAATTTCCCAAAAGCAAGAAAAAAGTCAGAATTAGATGCAGTAGGAAGCTTAACATAGACAATGGTGGAGGACAGTGGACACTGTTGGAGGGTGTGGTGCTAAAATATTGCATGAATGAAACATCATCACTCACAGTATTGTGCATCATGATAACTAAAATAAATCATTCAATTTTTACCTAGTTGTATGTGCTAGTCTCTGTTGCCTTCCTTACATACCTTTTTGTCTCCCATTAAATTCTGTGGCTATATACTTTTTTTTAAACCTTCCCCCACCTCTGCATGCTTTTACCAGTATATTTACAGTAATAGTTTTTTGGATAAAAGAACCATATTCAGGACATATTCCTAACTCATTGTCCAGGAATAACCACTGGAGGTGTGTTGAAGATCATATTCAGTGTTGGTGGAACTGTAGTAAGCCACATGCAAGGCAAGTATTTTTATAATTTTTTTGAAAGGGATTTTCTTTTAAAATTTTATATGAAGTGCACTATAACCTGTGTAGAATACATTTGTTTTAGTTAGGTAGAGCTTACCCCAATGATTATCACAAATAATAAACTGATAAACTGATAAACAATAAAATGAACTGATATTATTTAAACCAGGGATTAGCAACAATGTCTATAGGGGATGAGATATTAAAATATTTTTGTTTTGTGGACTATATGGTTTCTTACACTATTATTCAACTCTGCCATTGTAGGATTAAGTCAGTCATAGACAAAATATTAAACACATAAATAAGCATGGAAACCTTTTAATAAAACTATTTTGAATATAAATTTCATATTTTATATAATTTTAATATATCACAAAATTTAATTTTTCCTCCAATTTTTTCACATGTTTATATTGTAAAATTCATATTCATTCAAATTATGGTTTTACAAAAAACAAGTAGTAGGTAGGATTTGGTTTTTCTATCATGATTTTCAGACCCTTGCATCAAACTATAAGATTTATGATTATTTTAAAAAAGTCCATATCAAAATCCCAGTGAATTAAAAATGGATTAATGAAAGTGTAATAGCAGATTTAGTATGGGCAGATTATGGAAGACTAACACGAAATAACAGGAAGAGACATTTATACAAATACTGTTGTCAAGTGTTGCTTTATTTATTCATAAAATGGCAAATTTTATGAAAGCAATGTTTGAGGAAGATTCATATGAAAGTGTTGTGCAGTATTGTCAGCCAAAGGAAGCAAATGTTAAAGTGAGCTTTTCGCACATCTTTGTTCCAGTCTAGGCGTCAGCTAATGAGGGGATTGACTTTGGTGTTGGCTTTAAGAGTTGTTAAGGAGATGAAAAGGAAGTATCAACAACACTTGATGAACAATTAGACTTAAGGTAAAATTCAGGAAAAAACCTAAATAAGTTGCCATTTTTATGAAATTAAAGTGTGCAACTGGGATAATACAAGAAACTAAAAATGAAAAGATAAGCATAATCTGAAATATATATGTATATATATACATATATTTATATATGCTTTATATATACTTGTGGGCTGGAGAGATAGCACAGCAGTAGGGCGTTTGCCTTGTGCACCGCCAGCCAGGCCAAGGCGGGTTCAATTCCTCCGCCCCTCTCAGAGAGTCCGGCAAGCTACCGAGAGTATCTCGCCTGCACGGCAAAGCCTGGCAAGCTTCCCGTGACATATTCAATATGCCAGACACAGTAACAACAAGTCCCACAATGTACACATTACTGGGTCCACTCGAGGAAATCAATGAACAATGGGAGGACAGCGACGGTAATATATACATGTATATGTATATGTGTATATACACAAATATACATACAATATTAAGTCAAATAAGGCCTCTAGTCCAGGTTATCCAAAAATTCACAGGAGAAAAGCTTTCCAGGATTTTTCTTCATCTCTTTGATTTTTATAGTATAAACTATTGTTACAGTTTTTTCTTTATGTTACAATCAAGTAAGTCAGTAAAATCTGTTAATGAGTGGGGACTAAATTGAACGATTAAATGGTCTACATAAAAATAACTAGAATAAGAAAACTTCTCATAAAAATCCCATTGGCAACAACTGAAATTAGGTAGTTTCATAAGCATGAGGCATATAAGCACATTTGTTTTCCTTTATTCTATTAGTATGTAATAGGAGAAAAATAGTCCTGTTCAAACCCCATTTTCTGGATATTTTTACAACATAACATTCAAGGATGTGTATCCTAAGTAATACTGTTTACCAGTGCCCTGAATCACAAAAAATTAAATAACTCAACGGTTTGCTAGGAAACTCAATTTTTAACTATCAAATCCCATTCTTTTTAAGGGACATGCCAACTGGCATTGTTGTGCATCTAAGTAGTGAGCATAGAACAAGAGCTTTAGCTCTCTGATCTTCAAACTTTTTATTTATCCCAGTAAAAGTTATTACTGTAGCACTGTCCTCTCGTTGCTCATCGATTTGCTCAAGCAGGCACCAATAATGTCTCCATTGTGAGATTTGTTACTGTTTTTGGCATATCAAATACGACATGGGGAGCTTGCCTGGCTCTGCCTTGCGGACAGGATACTCTGGGCTCTTCGAGAAAAGCTGTTATTATTAATAATAATAGTAATTATGACTATATTATTGTTTTTTGGTGGGGGGATTGGTCACAGCAGTCTGTTTAGGGCTCACTTCTGGCTCTGTGCTTAGGGATTCTCCTTGAAAGCAGAACCTTGGCAGGGTTCTAGGGCCATATAAGGTGCTGGGGGTTGAACCAATTTCCATGTATCCAATGTAGAATTTCTCTAAATGCCCAAACCTATTATTTTATATTTATAAATTTATTTTAATTGAGGCAATGTTTTTCAAGACTATATATTTTGAGGGATATGATTTCATGTTTCTTCATAATATATGTTATCATATATACCCACCAACTAAGAACCATAATCTACCCCCCAGTCTTCATTTTCAAACCTATTCTTAAGTAGTCAGCCAAGTGAGTTTAAATAATGAATTTGATAAATTATGAGATAATGTTATGTGATCTGTTAAATATATTGGCTTTTATAGGGTAGTTTGCAGAGTCTTCTGCCTCCGTGCCTGGCTTCCTCACTGGGGCCCCTCGGAGGAGGGTGGGTTGAGTTCCCCTTCCCACCCCGAGCAGAGCCTTGGGAGCTGAAGGCCTCTGGTTCCAGCCACAGCCATGCTTAAGACCACTCTCCACACGTTCAGATGAGCCTCACACATGAAGGAACCAGCAGAGGAACCCAGCTGTGCGGGACCCGGTGCATAGATCTCCAAGTCCGCTCGGATTGGGACTGGGGCCTCCTCCACCCAGATCCCCCATCTTCCAGTATGTAGGTATTACACCCACAAACTGCCCCCAGGCGCCATGTAGTCCCATCAACAGCCAAGACCCAGAGACTATAAAACCCTGTGCGACATCATATGGGCTGGAGAGATAGCACAGCGGTAGGGCGTTCGCCTTACAAGCGGCCAACAAGGCCGACCCAGGTTCGATTCCTCTGCCCCTCTCGGAGAGCCCGGCAAGCTACCGAGAGTATTCGATATGCCAGACACAGTAACAACCAAGTCTCCAATGGAGACGTTACTGGGCCCGCTCGAGCAAATCGACGATCAACGGGAAGGCCTTAACTCTGGAGAACCTGGCAGGCTACCAAAAGTATCCTGCCCACACGGCAGAGTCTGGCAAACTCCCCTTGGCGTATTCAATATGCCAAAAACCAGTAACAATGATGAGTCTCATTCTCTTGACCCTGAAAGAACCTCAAATGTGGCACTTTTTAAAATCTCAGGGCTAGGACAAAGGAGACGTTTCTGGGGCCTGCTTGAAGCAATCGATGAACAACAGGATGACAGTGATACAGTGATAGGGTAGTTTACAAATGTGTACATGTGATATAGTTTTGGTCCTTACTGGAGAATTTTTTAATGATTTGAAAGATCACCACTTAGATTCTTTATTCATTGTCAAGCTAAAATATGGGAAGCTTTACAAATGTGCATGTCATCCTAATTTCAGGGATCATGTTAAACTTTTCTCTATATTCCAATTTTAGTGTATGAGCTGCTGAAGCAAACACCCTGTTCCCTTTTCAAAGGAGGAAGAAAAAAACATTTCTGTCTCTGTCTCTGTCTGTCTCTGTCTCTGCCCCCACCCCACTCTCTACATTTCTATTTAGGTACTGGGATTTATAATATTTTTCCATAATAAAAAATGGCTTGTACACAAAGAGATTTCAATCACATGTAAGTCCTTAGAGAGATAGTAAATTGATTAATTAAAAAGTTGGTTACAGTGAGGAATCATGTAATATTCCTGGTGTATGACATATTAAGAGTTTTCTGTTATCTTAAAAACATCACATTAACTATTTCTTAATATACAACCAAAATTGTCTTTTTCTTTTAAGAATAGACATGGGATTGGAGTATAATCTATTTTTTATATACATCAAGCTTGCAATACATCTTGTGTGAAAATTACTTTTGTTTTATTTTTTTATGTGGTTTGAGAACTTGAAGATTGTGGTGGAGAAGTCTAAGTTAACTTTTCCTTTTGGGTTTGGAGAGATAGTTCAGTAGATCATTTGCTTGCTTTGCATGTTGTTGAAATGAATTAAGTCCATGGATCCCCATATGGATGCAAACCAAAACCAAACAAAAAAAATTAAGAGGCAAAGAACATTGTTATAGAGGATGTGTATTGGAATATTTATGTATGAAACCCTTCATTGACACAAATGTAATTAATGGTGCTTAAAATTTTTAAAAAATAAAAAGGGATTTTTTCTCTTTAATTGTTTAAAATTGTTTTCTTAAACCTATTCAGCCTCATTGTATGTTAAATTTTTGTGTCTTAACAAAACATCAAACTTTGTTCTCATAAACACAGCATCAAGGAAATATTTTCCCAATCATATTTCATGATTTAAGCAGTATTTAGTTCAAATACAAAATTACACTAATGAACAACTTCTACAAACAAATTTGTGACAGAACCAAATTGAATTCCTAGTTAAAACAAAACCAAAAGTGTTAAACTAGCATTGGGCACATAAAAAAACGTAATAAGGTTGTATGTTTGTTTTATTTTGTGGACATACTCTGATGCTCAGATGCTACTCCTGACTCTGTGCTTGGAAGTTGCTACAGCTGGTGCTCAGGAATCATGCAGTGCTGGACCCACGAACCTGGGTCGCTTCGGCAGCACATATACTAAAATTGGAACGATACAGAGAATGTATTTCCAAGTGAATTAATAACATTGACTGATATCAGATGTTACAGTAGTAGTACTTTTTCCTGGCAGATATCCTAAGGGAAAACTTGCTTGGAAAAACAAAATAAAGTGGTAATACTAGGCAGATATATATTAATTTTCTTTGGTTATATTTGAAATACAAAGAAAGCACTAATGGATTTTTTTGTTTGTTTGTTGTTGATAGCAAGGTTGGTCTTATTGATGAGATTTTGATCAATGTCTTACCATCGCAATAGATAAATAATACTATATCACTGTCACTATCACTATCCTCCCATTGTTCATCGATTTGCTCAAGTGGGCCCAGTAACATTGTGAAACTTGTTTCTGTGTTTGGCATATCAAATATGTCATGGGTAGCTTGCCAGGCTTTGCCGTGCGGGTGAGATACTCTCGGTAGCTTGCTGGGCTCTCCGAGAGGGGAGGAGGAATCAAACTCGGGTAGGTCATGTTGGCTGCGTGCAAGGCAAACGCCCTACCCACTGTGCTGTTGCAGGAAAGAAAGCAATAAATATTTGAAGAAATAATGGTCTTAAAGCTTTAGAAAAATATTCTACTATCCGGTTTTGAAGGTTATTTTTTGCTGGCGGTGGTTATTACAGGGTGAAAGATTTTTCTTTCAGTACTTTAGAGAGGGCATTCCACTGTATTCTGATGGCCACAGATTCTGATGACAAGTTCTTTGTGATGGGAATGAGTGTTCCTTTCTATAGAGTATGTACTTTCTTGTTATCTTTGATCTAAAGCACTGTGTCTAACACTGCCAAATGTTCCCTCTCCTTTTAGGAGTTCACAGAGCTTACTGAAACCACCTGAATGAGTTCTACCAATACTATATAATAAACACAATTATCTTTAATAAATAAATAAGTTGATAGTTGAATAAATGCTTGTTACAAAGGGCAAGCAACATATACGGTACAGACTTTCAATTTTTTATTGGACACAAATCTAATTTCACCATAAAAATGCTTTTACCTTCATATTCACTGCATTACTGTATCACTGTCAACCCGTTGTTCATCGACTTGCTTGAGCGGTCACCAGTAACATCTCCATTCGTCCCAGCCCTGAGATTTTAGCAGCTTCTCCTTACTCATCATTCCCAACAGTGCTGTATAGGAGACTCAGGACCAGGGGAATGAGTCCCATTATTGTTACTGTTTTTGAAATATTGAATACACCATGAGGAGTTTGCCAGGCTCTGATATGCTGGAAGGATAGTCTCGGTCACTTGCCGGGCTCCCTGAGAGGGATGGAGAACGTATAGAAAAGAATACAAGCAAGTATGCTAAAATCAAACACATGTGTGCTGCTTTAGGTTCATCAGTGGGCAAGACTAGAAGAGGTCTAGCCTCTTACCTTCATATTACTATGTAAAATGCTTATTCAAATAAAATAATACAGAAAGGTATTATCCACTATGAATTCATTTTTGTCTGCCTCTGACTAACTCAGCTACATATAACTTATAAATTGACTTCTGTTCATTAGAATTGAAATAAATTAAATTTCAAAAGTAATATTTTAACCACCTAAGTACTGGTGAAAACAACCTTTTTCTGTCAACTGATTCAAACAGATTATTTGAATCATTGGTTTTAAATTTATCACTTAACAAAAATTCCTGAAAAATGTTTATTCAGGCAAATTTTCAAAGAAGACCAAACGAGATTTCTGTTTTTATTTTATTTTTTATTTTTTTAAATTTTATTGACGCACCATGAGATAGTTACAAGCTTTCATGTTTGGGTTACAATCACACAATGATCAAACACCCATCCTTCCACCGGTGCACATTCCCCACCACCAATATCTCTGGTAACCTCCCTCCCCCTTTCCCACCCTCCCCCTGCCTCCATGGCAGACATGATTCCCCATAATTTCTCTCTACTTTTGGGCATTACGGTTTGAAATACAGACCCTGAGAGGTCATCATGTTTGGTCCTTTATCTACTTTCTGCACATATCTCCCATCCCAACTAATTCCTCCAGCCATCTTTTTCTTAGTGATCCCTTCTCTATTCCAGCTGCCTTCTCAAACCTCCAACCACATCAAAAATGAGGAAAAGAAATGAACAGAAGTTTCCTCAAAAAAGAAATACAAATGGCCAAGAGGCACATGAAAAAATGTTTCACATCACTAGCCATCAGGGAGATGCAAATCAAGACAACAATGAGATATCATCTCACACCACAGAGACAGACACACATTCAAAAGAACAAAAGCAACCAGAGCTGGTGTGGATGTGGGAAAAAAGGGACAGTTTTTCTCTGTTGGTGGGAATGCCCACTAGTCCAGCCTTTCTGGAAAACAATATGGACAGTCCTTCAAAAACTAGAAATTGAGCTTCCATCTGACCCCACAATTCTACTTCTGGAAATATATTCCAAGGATGCAAAAAAGCACAGTAGAAATGACATCTGTACCTATATGTTCATTGCAGCACTGTTAGCATTAGCAAAAATCTGGAAACAACCCAAGTGCCCTAGAATAGATCACTGGTTAAAGAAACTTTGGTACAAAAAAAAAAAAGACTCTGGTACATTTACACAGTGGAATACTATACAGCTGTCAGGAGAGATGAAGTCATGAACTTTGATTACAAATGGATAGACATGGAGAGTATCATCCTAAGTGAAATTATTCAGAAAGAGAGGGACAGAAATAGAAGGACTGTACCCATTTATGGAATATAAAACTACATAACATGAGGCTGAAACCTAAGGATAGTAGATATACAGGACATACAGATTGCTCCATAGCTGGAAGATTTCTGTTTTTAAATTGATGACAAAAAGATGTATTAAAGTAAACTTTATATATCACAGTGTCACAGTGTTGTGAAAATTCAAACCATTTCATCCATGATCTTGAAGAAATTAGCACATTTGTGTTAAATATTGTGCCTTCTGTACTCAATATACATCAAAAGAAACAAAAATAAGGTAACATATACCTACTTTGGTAATCTTAAACTTTGGTATTCTTAATTAATATGTCACATTAATTTAATACAGCCTGTAAATAAAAATGGGCACAGGATACTTGCACATTTAGTAATTATGCATCTTGTCTTTTTTTGTGAATGTTGTGTTGATGCTACAAGAATACTGGGGAAGCAAGTAGAAGCAAGGGGGTGCATTCCAAGCTAAGGTATGGTGGTCTGTGAGTTGCTATAATCCTCTGGGCCTCCCTTTGGGAGTTATGTGACCCTCCAAGGAGAAAGCTCTTTTGGTACCTCACAGGTAAAAGAAACAACAGAAATTTGGCCAATGAGAGCAAATTGAGTAAACAGCTTTGTCATAAAATGATAACATGATAAATTTTCATATAGTGAAAAAGCTTCACCTTATTTTCCCATATATTTGATAAACAGTGAAATGTTCTAATTTTTTAATGGAAGTGCTTTATTATAGGATAACTCCAGATATTTCTTTCTTTATATATATATATATATATATATATATATATATATATATTTGTAGTTTAGGTCATAGAGTTACAACACTATTCACGTTTTTCACATTGCTGCATAAACAGATGCCTAAATCCTGTATGAATCCTGTATGTCCCTCCTCTCCCATACATGACCCCCATGTTTTACACTCTCATCTTTCTAACCTCTAAAGTATTTCCAAAATGCAAAACTTTCAGGTTACCTGGAAGGTAGGTGCCTCTATTGTTCATAAAAATAGTAACCTCTGATGCCAGGATAGCATACAGGCTTTTTATTTCTGCATCAAGAATGATGTTCCAGGCTGGAGCTGCTTGACTTTCACGTAGCTGACCTGGGATTAGTTATATCACATATTGTA